GAATCAAGCTGACTCCACACTTTCTCTTTTAAAAGTTGATAGAATTTGGAGTTTCAACTCAGTTGCCTTGCAACTAGAGTTCCAAATCCAATTTTGTATTGGATTTTTATTCTGAAATCCAGAGGTATTTCATGAGAAGAGTCCTCCACTCCTCTGCTCACAATAGAATCCCTTACGCCACCAGGGTCAACATTTTGGGCTTGGACAATCTGGAATTGCGCCGCCTGCGCTCGGACCTAAGCAGAGTACACAGAATTGTTTGCTACAACATCCTACCTGTCAAGGACTACTTCAGCTTCAACCACAACAATACACGGGCAAACAATCGATACAAACTCAAGGTAAACCACTCCAAACTCGATTGCAAAAAATACGACTTCAGCAACAGAGTGGTCAACGCCTGGAATGCTCTACCTGACTCGGTTGTTACCTCCTCAAACCCCGATAACTTTAATCTTAAACTGTCTAGCGTGGACCTCACCCCATTCCTAAGAGGTCCGTAGGGGGCGTGCATAAGCGCACCAGTGCGCCTTCCGCCCCTGTCCTACTGTCCCCATTTAGTTGTATCCATTTCTTTCGTTCATGTCCATGTTCATACTTTATACCAAAGTTTGCTCTTTGACAAACTAATAAATCAAACTTTTTTTCCCTTCTTTATTATTTCTTCAAACCCAGATTGAAGCAAGAAAAAATTCTGGAGGGAGGGAGGGAGGAAGGGGGTGAAGGGACGAGGAAAGCATTGTTAAATTGTTGTTCAATAAGTTGTTGTTCAATTGGTCAATGCCTGGAATGCTCTACCTGATTCTGTGGTTTCTTCCCCAAACCCCCGTAACTTTAACCTTACACTGTCTACCCCACCTCATTCCTAAGAGGTCTTTAAGGGGCATGCATAAGCGCAGCAGTGTGCCACCATCCATGTCCTAATATTCCCTTGTATTCGTATCTATTTCATGTATCCAAAATCATGTTTATACTCATATGTTATCTAATACATGCTTAACAAAATAAATAAAATAAATAAAGGAAGGAGGAATAAGAGGATAAGGAAAAGGAAGGGGAGGGAAGAAGAAGAAGAGGAGGAGGAGAAGAAGGAGAAGAAGAAGAAGGGAGGAGGAGAAATTGGAAGGAAGAGGAGGAGGAGATGGATGGATGAATAATGATGGGAGAGAAGGAGGAGGAGGAGGAGGAGGAGGAGGAGGAGGAGCAAAATAAATAAAATAAAAATAAATTGCAAAAAGAAAAAACAGCGAACCCTACCAACAAAAGCCACCCCTTGCAACCAAAGACTACCGTTCCCAGCATGCTTCACTGGCAGGCAGGGTGCCGGCAGTGGCTCACGCCACAAAGTTCCAGCGGCATCAAATTGCAAAGCGTGATGCAATAGCCGCTCTCGGCCAATCAGAGCGGGTAAAAGAATGTCAACAAACAAGGAGGCCTGGAGACCACATGACGGGCCAGACAGGCAAACAAACCTCTGATGCACAATTGCAAGAAGCCAGCCAGTCTCTCTCTCTCTCTCTCTCTCTTTCTCGCGCGCGCGCGCGCAACCAACCCCCGCCTGTGGGAAAGCAACAAGGCAATTAAAGGCCACTAATCTCAAAACAAAGGCCCGGGGATGGAAGTTGGCCCAGGGATCTGGGTTCCAAATAGGATTTAGGCAATTCTGCCACCAAGCAGAGTGCCTTGTGTACACAAACACACACAAAGAGAGAGGGGGGGAGAGGGAGGAAGAGAGACAGAGAAGAGAGGGGAAAGAGGGAGGGAGACAGAGAGAGAGAAAAAGAGAGACAGAGAGAGAAAGAGACAGAAAGACAGAGGGGAGAGAGGGAGGGAGAGACAGAGACAGAGAGAGAAAGAGACAGAGAGAGAAAGAGACAGAGAGAGACAGAGAGACAGAAAAGGGGAGAGGGAGGGAGAGACAGAGAGAAAGAGACAGAGAGGGGGGAGAGGGAGAGAGACAGAGAGAAAAAGGGAGATAGAGAGAGACAGAAAAGGGGGAGAGGGAGGAAGGGAGAGACAGAGAGGGGGGAGAGGGAGGGAAAGAGACAGAGAGAGAAAAAGAGAGAGAAAGAGACAGAGACAGAAAGAGAGGGAGGGAGAGAGGGGGGAGGTGAAATATCTCTACACACATTCTTCCTAATAGCATGTTTTAACATAACTCTACCATGTCCCTTCCCTCCCTCCGTGTTTTGAAAGAAGAAAAAGCTCATGAATGTTATGAAGAGACAGACAATTGCACAGCATTGCAAACCCTGCAGAGGCAAACAACGTTGGTCAATTTCCTTGGGAAACTAACCCAGCCTTTTCTGCATGCTTCCTGAAGAGGGTGGAGATGTGCCCAGGCACCACAATATAAACATCCATGCCAAAGTCATTTCCACACAAGGAGATAAAACAGCTCAACACGCGAGAAAGCCAGATACCTTTGAATGCAATGGGATCCATCATTTTATACTTGACTAAAAGGCTCCTCAGAAAAAAAAAATCAAAACACAAATACAAAACAGGAAATGCCCTTCCTGTTCCGGCTTCATCTACAATACTTTATAATTTTGGTTTTGGTTTAAAAAAAGATAAATCACAATGTAACTGAACGAAGGGCCCCGAGCTTCCCAAATGAAATAAATAAACAGGTTAAACCAGCAACAGTAACAATGCCAGCAATGAGATTTTAGGCAAGAGCCATGCAAATACCCTAGATCCCCAAATTATAGCAATGCACTCTTAAGCCAGCCAATTTTCTTTTTTTTTTTGGTAAAATAACTTGCAGCTTTTTAAGGTTACAACAACAACAAACCTTAAAAGCTATTTAAGGATGGCCCTTTTTTGCCACTGCAGGCCAAAACAGCTTGGCCCAGAGATTTTTTTTTCTACATGCCATCATTTTGCTGAACACCTAATTCCCATAGCGTTGTCTTATATTTAAAGATATTTTACCCATGTAGTAAGGTACTACTATTATCCTTCTCATTTTTTCTACTACCTTCTCCGATGGGTACCTCATCATTATATCCCTTTGTTGTTTGAACCAATTCCTTATATGTCCAATCACACTTGGCCAACAAAGAATATTATATATATATATATAAAAGCCAAATGCCACACAGTCATCACCAAATCCCCAGAACCGTAAAGCCTACAAATGTGAAATTTGGCACGTATGTTCCTCTTGGCTTCTAGGTACTCTCTGAGAAAGGATTTTTCGAAATGGCCATTAGATCATTAGTATTTCTTATACAGTAATTAACACACTCTGATGCTAAGGAGTTCTAATCCCCCTCCCCACCTGAAAAGAACTCTGTTCCAACCGCCAGTTGCCTTATATTAACACGCCGTGATGCTAAGGAGTTACACATTCTACATTAATGTCCAAGGTTTAAGTGTCAATGTATCAAGCCCCATCGTAACTACTCATTAATTTTCAAGCTTTAAGGGTCAATTTATCAAGCCCGATCACATAATTTTGTAGTGAAGCACGGGTATCCAGCTAGTATTCCATACACAAAGTTATCCATTTCAGCTGAAGACCTCCAGCCCCATGGGTTAGAGGTCAACCTAGCTGGTATTTGGATCAAATCTTCATCCTTGTAGTCATCTCCTATAAAAAGCTAATTAAACAACACCCTCTCTTCCCCCGTTGGCTTGGCCCATCAACCCTCCTCTCTCTCCCCCACATAAATCTTTGGACCTGAATTTGGAGCAAAATACCTGGAAGTCGTAGAGAGCCACGATGTTATCATGTTTCAGTTCCTAGAAAGAGAGAGATTGGAGGGGGGGGGGGGAAGAACCGTTACTTATCAAACAAACAAAAACACAGTTCGTAATTCAAGTGGATGCCAAAGTTCTTTCTCCGAAGTCACTTCCCCTTTTCCCTTCAATTTACCTTCAATATCTTGATCTCCTTCCCCAAGAGAGTCTGGGATTTCGCCAAGTTTTTCTTGTTGATGCATTTGATGGCCACTTCAACTTCGGGCTTCTGAAAGTTGGAATATCAAGGGAAGACGGTGAATAGGGCCCCCCTCCCCCGGGGTTTTCCATCACACACTTCCACAGACCCACCAAGCTGGGTTCATGAGAGTTTGTTGACCTATTCACAAGCAGCTATGCCCCCAAACCCATGGTACAAGATATTTTGTACCGCAGACTGGGTCAAACGCAGACAAACAACATTTTGGGTAGTTTGAGTCACTCGGAGCCTCGAGATAGGCAGGCAAACAAATTTGATAATAATTGACAGTATAAAAGTTGGTCTGAAACGGTTGGGTTTATTTGGTTTTCTAGTCTTTAGCCAAGACAAGTTCAGACTTGCCCTCCCTGATTTAATTTTCTTTCCCTTCTTAACAGGATCTCCAGCACCAAAACCTCTTCCAAATGAAATAAGGCCTTATTTCTAGCAACAAGCCTTACGAAGGATGTGAATCTCCTTCTGTCTTCATCTCTTTGCCCTTCAAGTCCCCAAATAGATAATTGCACATTTACTTTATTACAAGCAATGCGGGAGAGGATACAATAGACAATCCGGAGATGCTTGTTTTTAGCACGAATGGCTGCTATAGAAGCCATTCTAATTTTGCAAACTCTTTGCCAAGATCCTTCCTACTCAAAACAAAAATGGCGAAACTAAACCTTTATCACCTTTCTTCCTCCAATCATAAGACTTTGGGGATGTGCCCACCAATAACTTATTCATACATAAAATGCAGGCCTTACTCCCTGCTCCCACCCTAAAAGCACTCCAGGTGTCTTGCCTAAAGATTCTTAAGTCTCCCATAGCGACCAAATAGAAACCCGAAATATATTTATTTATAGATCCTCCGAGACACAACAAAGAGTTTTTTCCCTTGCTTTGTGGCTGCTTTGAGATAGGGAAACCTTGCCAATCCTGTAAGATAAGGCCTGCTTTGCTTTGTGCCTAAGCAAATTCTCCATGTCTTTCCCCTAATTGCATCAGCCCCATGATTCAGTCTCTACCCATTTTGCAGTTCCTTGAGAAAATCTTAGCAGATTTTAACAGATCTTTGGGGATCTTAAGAGAGGCATGCCGTGACCTGCATCGTCCGGCTTACTTGTGGATTAATTTGAAATTTTGGGGTTGCTTGAAAAGTTAGAGAAGTTTCTTAGAAGGAACTGGGGGGAAGGAGCTTGTCTAAAGTCCCAACTTAGATTTAGAAGTTTTATCTTGTTCCTTTGCCCGTTTGTTTGCACCTAGTTGGTTGAATCAACGATTCAAGGACTCCTTTTTTCACCGTCATATCAGATATTGTCATTTCACAGAGAGAGAGAGAGAGAGAGAGAGAGAGAGAGAGAAAGAAAGAGAAAGAAAGAAAGAGAAAGAAAGAGAATCGAGAATGCCCCCCTCCTTGTTCCCAGTAGAAAAATCACCCCAAATCCCTCCCATTTTCTTTTGAACTTTTAAAATANTGTCCTTACCACTCTCTGTATGGACTTTCTATCTGAGGCACCACTACCCCCAAACCAAACAATGACACACCTTGCTAAATTGCAAAAGATTGCAAAGAAACTCACTTCGTAGTCCTGGGGTATAAAACCACCATTTTCGACTGCAAGAGAAAGTTACTGGAAGTTGGGGGGGTCTTATATATTGTTTTCACTGTAGTTATTATTTCAGGAAGACGCGTGCAAACCTGTAGTGCTAATTATCATACCTGCTCAAGGCTGGGATATTTACTGCTTGCAAATCACATCATGATTTACAATGAATTTCAGACAATAAATATTCGTTTACAAATAACAACCACATTAAGGCAGTATCTTCAGTTTCCTAGCTGCACCAGGATTTCAGCTGGGCTCTGTGCTAGGAGACCAATGGCACTCATAAGCTATGGGTTATAGCTTAATGCTTTACAGACAACCAACCAGTTATTGGCACCTTAACAAACCATGTTTATACAAGCCATAACTTAGCTAGACACATCAAGTGAAGACACCGCCATATATCCATACATATCCATGAGAGTCAGTTTGGTGCTGTGATTAAGGTGCTGGTGTAGAAACCAGGAGACTGTGAGTTCTAGTTCTATCTTAGAGAGGAAAAGCAATTGGGAGATTTTGGGATAATCACCAGGAGACTGTGAGTTCTAGTCCCACCTTAGAGGTGAAAGCCAACTGGGAGACTTTGGCACAATCACCAGGAGACTGTGAATTCTAGTCCCACTTTAGGGAAATAAGCAGCATGGTGACTTTGGACCAGTCCCTCTCTCTCTCAGCCCAACCCACCAGATGGAAATAGTGTAGTAGTAGGAAAGTATTACGTATGTTTGCTGCCTTGTGTTATTTATAAAATAATAAAGAAGGGATTAAAAATTATATCGATTGCTCCAAACTAACGTAACTGCCTTCATGCTTCCTTCCCTCCAATCCTCAAAAATTCATAGCTGTAGCAAAAAACCTTTTAGAGAAAGCTTCAAGTATAAGTTCTAAAAATACTCCATACAGCAGAGACTGCCTCCTTGGGAGTTCGAGCAATGAAGGCCCATTAATACATTTCAATAATACATAAGTAAAGTTTTAAGTAGGTCACCCTTTTAGAGACAGCTTTCAGAGGCACGCTTAGAGTTTCATGGGGGAAGGAAGGAAGGGGGAGAGAAATGAGAAGAATGGAGGAAAGAAGGACACAGAAAAATGAATGAAGACAGGAGGTATCAAGGAGGGGAAAAATAAACAAATGAAGGAGAAGGAGGGAGAGGGAAGGAAGGAAGGACAGAGAAATGAGGAGGAAAAGAGATGGATGGATGGATGGATGGATGGAAGGAAGGAAGGAAGGGGGAAGAGAGAGGGAGAGGGAAGGAAGGAAATGGGACAGAGAAATGAGAAGGAGGAAAGGAGATGGAAGAAAGAAAGAAAGAAAGAAAGAAAGAAAGAAAGAAAGAAAGAAAGAAAGAAAGAAAGAAAGAAAGAAAGAAAGGAAGGAAGATGGAACAGAGAAATGAGAAGGAGGAAAGAAGATAGAAAAAGGGAGGGAGGGAAGAACTTGGAAGAGAAGCAAGTAAACACTTTCACAGGACAGACTGAAGCATAAACTCAGCCAGACGTAGCCCACTGTGGCTTCATAGCTCCATGTGAACCCAGTTTCAGAGGGGCTGATTCTGCCCAACTTCCTTTGAAATCTCCTCTTCTCATCAGATTTGGCACCCATTCAATCCTTGGCCACTGAAAACAACACCATGAGGTGACAAGCAGGAGATTAGCTCACGCCATCCTGGTTTCAACACTACCTAGATTTTGTAACCGCACTTGGGAAGTGCTCGCTCAATACTTAGTTAAAAAAACAAAAATTAACCCCAGCTTTCTTTCTTCAATTCCAAAATTAGTTCTTGTTAAGTCTGTGGCTCCTTAAGAAGGTAAAAGAGAACAATTCTTCCCACTCTAAAACATCCTCCTTTTATATATCGGTGGCTTTATCCCATGGAAGCTTTTCCCAAAAATATCTGGAGATTATTTGAAGCAAGGTCTGTTTTGAGGAAATGCAAGCAGAGGGACGAAGAATCACAGGGTTGGAAGGGACCTTGGAGGTCATCTAGTCTGCCCAATCAGGAGTCTTCAAACCATCCCGTAACAAATGGTTCTCCAATCTTTTCTTGAAAAACTCCAGTGATGAAGAACCCGGAACTCCACGAGGTAAAATGGATTCACTGTCAAGGAAATTTCCATCCAGATTCAAAACCATAAAAAAAATGAAAGTTAGAATATTTTGAACATGTGATGCAACACCTGGGAAAATACACCATCCTTCACTTAATCCTCAAGAGAAAGACTGAAGGCAAAGGAGGTCCAGGCAGAAGAAGAACATCATGGCTTCAAAATCAAAGTTTGGACAAAACTCAGCAGCACTTTTTCATTCAACTTTTGATCAAAATAGGATCACCAACATGATTACTAATGTCAGATGACAGACATGGGAGGGGGAGGAGGAGAAGGAGAAAGAGAAAGAGAAGGGGGAGAAGAAGGGGGAGAAGAAGAAGGAGGANCTTGTTCCTTTGCCCGTTTGTTTGCACCTAGTTGGTTGAATCAACGATTCAAGGACTCCTTTTTTCACCGTCATATCAGATATTGTCATTTCACAGAGAGAGAGAGAGAGAGAGAGAGAGAGAGAGAGAAAGAAAGAGAAAGAAAGAAAGAGAAAGAAAGAGAATCGAGAATGCCCCCCTCCTTGTTCCCAGTAGAAAAATCACCCCAAATCCCTCCCATTTTCTTTTGAACTTTTAAAATAAAATAAAATCCTCATTTACCTCTTTGTGCCTCCCTTTGAAGACCACAGCAAAAGCTCCATGCCCGATCAGATCTTTCCTGCTGAATTCAAATTTTCCAACCGCTTCCATGTCGTTTCTGAAGGCGGGTAGCACAAAATAAACAAGTTTAAAAAAAATATTACAAAATTGGAACGGAGAAGGGGGGAGATATGGGGTGGGGAGGAAATCCAAGCATTAAGAGGGCCAATTTTTTTCTTTCCCATAAGAGGGGGGGACGGACCCAGGAGCCGGTTTTCAAAGAGGCTCCTCTCTCCCTCCCCTGCGAATCAATCTCGCCAGGAACTAGAAACTTGAAAAAGCAAAGGTTTTTCCTGGAAGACCCAGGAGTGGGGGAGTTTAATACCCATATGGCCCCCTGCCCTTGGTTGGAAAGAGATCGTGGGACTATCCTGGCAGCCTCCCACCTCCACTAATTCTGCGGGCCAGGGAAATAAGCGCTTGGGGGGACCCTTAAACCAAGCCAACCCCCCCCCCCAAAGCCGGCGCGACAAGCTCGCTCCCCACCTTAAACGCCCCCAGGCGGACGCGAGGCACTCATCGCCCCCGGGAGCCGCTCCGATCCGTCGCCAAGGCCACCTTCAAGATCCCAAGAAGAAGGGGGAGGGGGGGAGAGAAAAAACACTTTATTAAAGTCCCTCCCCCAAAGGAAAAGGGGGTGGGAAAACTTCCCCCCTCCCCAAGCCACCTTAAGAGCAGTCACCAAGATCCCCCAAAAGGGGGAAGGGGAGGCCTTATTAAAGTGCTCCCCCCCCCCCGCAGTAAAATGGAATAGGGGTGAGCAAATCATCCCCCTCGTTGCTCCCCCCCAGCCCCAAGCCTCCTTAAAAGCCAAAAGCCCCCTTGCCCCCTCCCATTCCTAAGCCCCACCTTCAGGATCCCCAAAAGGGGGTGGAAGAGACTTTATTAAAAGTCCTCCCCTCCCAACATCCCCTCTCCTCAAAAGAGCATTAAAAGTCCTCCCTCCCAACAAAAGGGGGTGGCGAAATCCTCACCCCCACCCCTCACCCTCCTTAAAAGCCAAAAGCCCCTTTCCACCCTCACCCCCCAATTCCCAAACCCCACCTTCAGGATCCCCAAAAGAGGGGGGGAGACTTTATTAAAAGTACTCCCCCTCCCAACAAAAGGAAAAGGGGCTGGGAAAATCCTCACCCCCCCTCCCATCCCACCAGCTCCCTCCCCATTCCCCCCCGCAACCCTCCTGGGAAGCCACCTTAAGCGCCGTGGCCTTTCGGGGCGATGCCGGGCGAGGCTGTGCGACCCCCGCGGCGCCCCCGCCGGCCGCGCCACCTCTGGCCAGATGCGCCCCGGGGCGAGGGAGGATGCGGCGGCTGGGCTGGCGGGGAGGACGGAGGGGCGT